TGGATGCATAAGCCAAGCATCCAAAGACCTTAAGGTCAGTATAGTTGGGTCTAACCTAGAACAGAATCTCAAAGGGAATCTTGTGATTTAAGATAAGTGTTGGTGTTCTATTTATGAGATATACAGTCGTTAGTATAAAATCATTCCAGTACTTTAAGGGGAGTCCACTTTGAAACTTCAAAGATATTGCCACGTTCAAAATATGTTGATGTTTTCTTTCTACGACGACATTTTGTTCAGGTGTCTCAACACACGTCCTTTGGTGCATTATACCCTTTTTTAGATAGAAATTTGTCATGTTGAATTCCCACCGTTATCCGTTCTGATGGTTTTAATCTTTGTTTCAAATTAAGTTTCCACCATAGCACAAAAATTTTCTAAGATAAAGATGGCATCTGATTTAAAATTCTGCATATAAGCCCATGTACATCTACTGAAATCATCAACGATAGATAGAAAATACTTAGAATTATCTATGCTGAATTCATTACAAGGCCCCCAAATATCACAGTGAATTAATTCAAAGCATTTTTCTATTTTGTGATGGCTAGTATTAAATGGCAATCTATGTTGCTTTACCAAGGGTAGATGGGGCAATGACTGATGCTAGATGATGCATGAATAAAAGTGTTTTCATTAGGACTGAATTTAGATAATGAAGAGTGACCTAATCTGTAGTGCCATAGACTAGACTCTTTATTATTTTTGATAACAAATGCAGAAGAAGTGGGTAGACGTTTGAACTAATTGATGATTTCTGTCAGGGCCAAAGGAGAGACTTCCTTTCTCACCATGTGATACAGTCCATCCTTCACTTCACCCATTCCAATCATTCTCCATGTAGAAAGGTCCTAGATATAACAACAGTTGGAGAAGAAAACAGGACAGCAGTTAAGATATTGAGTGAGTTTCTTTGCTGAAATTAAATTGAAGGTGAAACTAGGAATGCAAAGCACATTATGCAAGGTAATATTTTCTGAGGTTTTCACAGTCCCCCTATGTGTGCCAAGGACACTTTCTCCATTCAGTAAAGCCACAGAGTGTGTCACATTAGATTGGATGGATATAAAAAAGAGGTAGAACAGGTCATGTGATCTGTTGCTCTTGTGTCGAGAATCTATGGAGTTTCAAGAC